GTTGAGGGTCTTGCCTGCTCCCAGTCTGCTTTTAGCAACAACATCCTAGAAATAATATCAGTAACCATTATAGGAGGAAAGAGAGGTCCGAGTGATGTAAAGTTCCAGTCGTCTGTTTCCATCTAACATACCCTGTGCGTATTACATACAACAGTCTGCCACTGAAAGACTTCTCTGTTCTTGGGCAAACTGGTTAAACACCTAGGCCTCCACTGTCTCATCTGTAAAATGGACAGAGTATCTAGCTCACTGGGCTGTTATGAGGATCCTGGTACATTGCTGGCCCTCAGCAAATGTTCCTTTTCATTGTCGCCATCATTGTACTTACTGTTAAGATAGATGAACACCTTGCCCTGTACTCCTCACTTAAGGGGGCACATTTCCTGAGTCTTTCACTAAACGATTTCTTCTGAAAACCAGATCTTTCTGGTAGGTGTTTCCATTCTCATTTCACCCACCACGTCCAGATATAAGAACAGAAGGCAGATTGCATAAGAACTCCATGTCCCTTCTTGATTTTCCTCGAGTAGGACTTCCAGTCCGCCAGCCAGACGGGGTCTCGAGGCCAGAGAGAAGTGAAGAGCTTTGGAATGACGATCCCCGGGACTTCCGGAAAACTTCCTGTGCAGGTGGGAAATGAATGAAAACGAGCAAAAGCTAGTATCGCACCAACAAGGAAGTCAGATCTGGAATTCCGAACATGGACAAGGCAGCACTGGGCGAGGGCTGGGAGAGGAACCCACTCACTTGGCCTTCCCGGTTTATTATGCAGGGGTGCTGAAGCCACAGGATGTGGGAGAACAGAAAAGCAGGTGGCAGCCAGGAAAGCCTACTCTCCTGAGTTACCGTGGCTTCTAGATAGATATAAACAAATCCTTAGTGTTGATGATTTCCTTCCTAAATTTCTTTTTTTAATGTTTATTTTTGAGAGAGAGAGAGAGAGAAACAGAGACAGAGAGACAGAAGCGAGCCGGGGAGGGGCAGAAAGAGAGAGAGGGAGACACAGAATCCGAAGCAGGCTCCAGGCTCTGAGCTGGCAGCACAGAACCCCAGGCGGGGCTCGAACCCATGAACCGTGAGATCGTGACCTGAGCCAAAGTTGGAGGCTTAACCGACTGAGCCACCCAGGCACCTCTAAATTTCTTTTTTTTTTAATGCCCCCTTTATTTATTAAGTAAACATCTACCCCCAATGTGGGGCTCGAATTAATGACCCCAAGATAAAGAGTCACATGCTCTACCGACTGAGCCAGCCAGGCTCCCCTCCCTCTTAAGTTTCTATCAGAGTTTTAACTATAATTGACTATCACTTAACTAGATTAATAGAAAAAGTGAGCCCTGGCAACCCCAAATTAAACAACAGTCAGCCTTAGCTTATTGCAGGGGTGAATTTCTCATGGTTAAGATGAGCTTCCCTCCTTGGTTGGGCTCAGTCATTTTGTTGGAAGTTTAGGAGATCTGATAAATAGTACTGCTCTTCCCCCGCTCAGATTCCAGACCAACCAAGAAACGTAAGAGTAAGACGCTGAGATCAAATGACAGCTTTCTAACTGTAGAGCCGTTGGGCAGTGTGGCTCAGATGGGTGGCCACGGTGGGCTTCCTTACTGAACCCCAGTTGGAGCCACAGGCAGCAGGGGACGGCCACAGCCTCCCCCCGCAGGGTAGAGGCTTCACTGCTGGTTCTGAGCCACGGGGCCCAGCTCCTCGTTCATCAAAGAAGTCCTCCCTCCCAATTGCAAGGAAGGGGACAGAGAGAGGCCAGAATCACTCTCAGGCTTGTCCCTCTGCCTGGAAGAGAAAGGTAGCCTTTTAGTACCGATTGCCAGCACACAGGTGGGTGGGGAGAAGAGGGGCCATGCCTGGGGGCAGAGCATCTGATTGGCGGGGAGAGGAAGAAATGGGCCTGGGTCCTGCCCTCCTCCCTTTCCTCAGCCTTCCTCCCCACCACCTTCTTGTTCAGAAGCTGGGGGAGGGAGTGAGATCTGGAAGTCTGCTGTCTTGAACGAGGTTCAGCCCTGTTCCAGATGATTGGTTTCTGGTTAATGGCAAACTGACTGTGTTCTATGTGTCACCGGCAAGAGTTTGTTTCCGACCGTCTGGTAGGGCCGCTTTCTCATCGGTTCTGTTCTTCTGAGCTCAGAAAACACGCTACATTTGCAGTTTCACCTCATTCTTTCAGATCTTGAAACAAGGACAGAGAATGAGGAGAATTCAAGCCAGAACATTTCAGAGGAAGCAGAACTGCCGGGGGCATTATTAGAAAGACCCGAAGTGGATGTTTCCCAGTACCTTGCCTGGAGGAGAGACTGGGAAGGCAAATATGGGGCAGAAAAGCAATGGGAGGTACCCTTAGAAGATGGACGAGGGTCACTCTCCCCTCCAGAAAGAGACGCAGGGAAATTCATAGGTCCTCAGGGAACCTACGTAGGAGAAAAATCCTATCCATGCTGTGAATATGGGGAAAATTTCAGCCAGAGCTCCCACTTAGCTGTCCACCGGTTAGCCCACATCGGAGAAAAGAAACCTTTTAGGTGTGGCCGTTGTGGGAAAAGCTTTGGCCGAAGCTCACACCTGGTCTGCCACCAGAGAACCCACACCGGGGAGAAGCCCTACAAATGTCCCGAATGTGGGAAAGGCTTCAGTGATCATTCTAACCTCACAGCACACCAGAGAATCCACACTGGAGAAAAGCCCTATAAATGTGGAGAGTGCTGGAAAAGCTTCAACCAGAGCTCCAGCCTCCTGATGCACCAGAGAGTCCATACAGGAGAGAAACCCCACAAGTGCAGTGAGTGTGGAAAGAGTTTCACCAATAGCTCGCACTTCAGTGCGCACTGGCGAACGCACACTGGCGAAAAGCCCTACCAGTGCCCTGAGTGCGGGAAGAAGTTCAGTAAGAGTTCCACGCTCACCAGCCACCAGAGGATCCACACAGGAGAGAAGCCCTATGAGTGTCTCGAGTGTGGCAAAAGTTTCAGTGACCGCTCAAACCTCATTACCCACCGGCGAATTCACACTGGAGAGAGGCCCTACAAGTGTGGCGAATGTGGGAAGAGCTTTAATCAGAGCTCAAGTCTCATCATACACCAGAGGACCCACACGGGAGAGAAGCCCTACGAATGCGGTGCCTGTGGGAGGCGATTTAACAACAGTTCGCATTTTAGCGCGCATCGGAGAACCCATGTGGGCGAGAGGCTCTAAATGTCTTTAAGAAGCATCAAATCTAGAAGCACCACAGAATCTGTTCTAAGAAAGGTCTGTATGGTCCTTGATTCTATACCACGACCCCCACAGGAGATGGGAGACCAGGGATTTAGGTCCCAGTTCGGTAGAGGTCATTGTGTTTCTCTCACTGAAAACTCAGCTGGCTTACGGAATACTACTCAGGGCTTGCTTATCCGCGCTATTGAAATGGAAGCTAATTTCCAGAGAATTCAGAGACTCATTCTGAATTGGACTGTACCACCGTCACGATAGGTCTCCATTAGGATTCTGTGCCTTAACTTCCACAGCTTGGTAATATGAGGGTGAGACTCTTGTCCCCAAGACCCCCCTTCAAGGACAGAGGAGGTCCGCCCCGCGGTGCTCATGGCATTAACGGTGGCCGGCTCCGCCACAGGGCCGGTAGTGGCTGAGCTCTTTCTTCTCAGCACTGGGCAGGTAGATGGGGATTTATTAACTGAGCACATTTTTCAAGGTCTTCCACGGTTCTCCCCGTGGAGGGTGGGGCCCGCGAACCGTCTCCATTTCTCTACGTGCTTCTTACCCAAGAGGAGAGCACTGTGTCGTGTCATTTGGAGGAGGAAAGGTCAATGCTCCAGGTTGGCTTTCTAAACCATGACCTACTCTTCCTCTCGACATGTTAGGTTGAGCCATAGGAGACTGGCATCTTTGAGGTATAGAACCAGCAATTAATAGGACTCGACCTAAGCAGACGTCTCGCAGGGTAGAACCGCTCCAAATTGCCAGCAGTGCTGCCGGCGAGCCCTACAGCCCATGTGGTGCCCTAAAAATATAACACTGTGTCTAGGAGATCACGAACAGGATGATGAAATGGGGAAAGCCTTTTCCGTTTGCAAGTACGTCCGGAGCAACGACCACTAACCTTGGCAGCGGTTAAGAAGGAGGCCGGGTTGGAGGAGCCGCCGCTCCATCCCCGGCCTCAGGGGAGGCCGCGTGCAGGCGCACAGGTCCTGGAGATCTGGGGTGTCTCTGAGTGAGCAGAGCACAGCCCCTGGAGGGACTCTGACACACGCAGAAAATGGTGCTTAGAAAGAGATGGAATACGGTTTCTTGCTCTAGTTTCTCCTTCGTGCATTTGGCTTGCAAATATTTTCCCCCAACCTTCCAGAAACCCACCAGTTATAAAACAAAGCACAGTCTACACATGTCACGGTTTCATATCGTTAGATTTACAGAATACGATTAAGTAAGGAGTCTTTTCTAACGAACGTAAAAGAACCTATTCAAGTAAGTGTCCGTCAAAAGCAGCCGTTCTGACGGGCTGTGAACTCTGTTTGTTGTTGCCATTACTGAAAACATTGAGTTTTCCTCTGAGAATTGTCTTCAGACCACCTTAGAAGGCCTCCTATCGATGTAGTTCTAGCACAGAGTAGTGTCCGGCATGGAAGAAAGGCTTAATAAACACTGGCAGAACGAACAGCGTGTTTATTATCTGGCCCGGTCACCTCTCTTATCTGTGAGACTTGTCTCTGCCCAGTATCTGCTATCTGGAACCAGAAGTCCTTCGAAGGATGTCAGTTTGCTGCCACTGAGGACACTTCGGAGAGCCTGTTTTTGGAGATCGTTTTCAAAGAGGTATCCCAGAAATCTGAGTTCAGAATTTTTTTTATACGGCCAGGAAATAAATCTGATAATGTATTCTTTTAAATCATTTTACTCTTTTGAATGAGAAAATCTTTACTTGGGTGGAAATTCACGATACTAAAATTAACATAGCTGTGCGTTATAAAAAGAGTTTGGAAATAACCACATTCCCTTTTGGAAACTTCTGGAATGGAACACGGAGATTCAGATGTAATATCCATTACCATGCCATCTCACGTGTATTTTCCCCTTAGCAAAGCAAGGGGAAAACTGAGCTGGAGACTGTAGATATTTCATACGGATTTTACAGTCCGTGAAGCACTGGGACACGTGAGATGGCTCTCCTAAGTGATGTTGGCATAGTTCTCAGTGGAAGACTAGCACTGAGTCTCACCAGTTGACTATCACGTGGAGAGGTTTCCCAGTGAACCCAACGTAATATGTACTTTTTACAGTGCCTGGATTTTGATTTGAAACTAGTTATCCATTCCCTTGCTCCAAAGTGTTCTGATTTGCCTTTTCGCCTGCCTCGGGACGCGGCATGAGCAAAGCTCTGTGGGCTTTAGTTTTTAGCTCACCTCCAGCTCCAGCTCATAATCACGGCTTCAGAGTTTCTGAACCAGGCAAGCAGGGTGGCTTTTGGAAGCTGTTCACTTGGAAATCCCCTCAAGAGAAAAATAATGAAGTGATAGCGGGAAATGCATGAAATTCACCTCTATTATAAAAGTTGCAATAGATGACAATCAGATTATGCATTGCAAAATTTTAACTGAAGAGGCGCATAGCAGAAATACCGGTTCTTATTCTCACGCACAGAGAGCAAGAAACACAGGAGTTGGGTTTCGGGGCACTAATCCTAGTAGCCGAAGCTGATGCAAGTATATTAACCCATTAAATAAGCGAATTCCAAGCGAATCCTGTGAGTGCGATGGCCAAAGGGTGAGCCATTTTCATCAAGTGATCACAGACTTGGCCCTAGGGCGGAGAGTCCAAGAGACTCTAACAGCCACAAGCACCAAACCCCGCTGAGGTGCGTGTGACCCCGGCCTCCCCTCTGTTCAGCCCAGCATGCGGGACCCACTCACTGGCTCTGACTGTTCGGCTTGCAGAGAACAACACCCTCTCCCTTTACTTCTCTCCAGGACCCCGGCTCCCCAGGCCTTCTGCACAGCTCCGCCACTCCTCTAGTGGAAGGCAGAACGAATCAACACCAGCCCCTGTTCCCTGGTTCCCTGCGTATTTGGCGAGGCAGGCCCCACGCTAAGCACTTTATTGCAGGGTGTCGACCATTTCCGCCACTCCAAGGTGTGGGGAGACGCACAGAGCTGGGACTGCGGCCCTGATCTGTCTGCCTCCGCCATGGGGGTTGGGGGGTCTCGATGATCCTGTCGTATCAGTCCCCAGATGCGCACTCCTGGGAGCCACGGCTTCTGTGGGGGTTGGGCTGTAACGTCGGCACGTAAGGGAACGATTGTGTGTGCCCAGAATGACTCTTGAGAGTCCCTGCCACAGCCCCTTAGCAAGGACAGCGTCTCTGTCAGGCCTGTGAGATGCTGATGTGCTGAAGGCCCACGGGGGTGGGGGGCAAAACCT